CCGGGGTTGCCCAGCACAAGAGAATCCACTCTGTTCTCTCCTTTAGACACATGGAGGGGGAGTGTCCATGTCCTCACGGAATACTCACCTGGAAACATCTGACAAAGCCACTCCCCCAGGTGAGCATCCACATCTCCGGAAAGGGAGTGTGTCAAACAGTGCTCCCCACCTCGAGTGGGATTTAAAACCACAGGAGCACAGGAGTCTTATGATTAAAAAGAAGATGCAACCAGTAGGAATTGGGACTATGGACCAATGAAGTCTATTTGCAACTGAAATAGGTGGCAAATTAGCGGCGCACAGAATCCAGCAGAAATTCTAATTAAACTGGTAGTTAGAAATGATGGACCACAGAGACAGGCAACTTGTTATCTTGCGGGGAGCCCTGTGCTGGAGGGCAGAGTGGCAGCTCCGTGGGACCAGTGTGGCTGGTGAGAGGACCCCAGGCCTGGGAGCTGGGGCGTGACTTCCTCTGGCCCTATGCTCTCCCCTCGAGGCCACATGAGGGCCTTAAGTCTCACCTCCAAAGGTGGGGACTCGACTCGGGCTGCCCAGGACTCACCTGACCCAGAATTATCCTCTAACGAATATACCTGGTTCTGAATGAGAATGATGCAGTGCTGTAATCCACCTTGCACTGGAGTTCCTGTCCTCACATGTGAGTTTCTGTACACCGCAAATATCTAATTAGGTCTTTAATACCTGGATTTATCCATCGATGAACAATGTTTTAATTTTTTTAAATCAGTCATGCTGGGGGTGGGTAGCAAAGGGCTGCATCTCCACAGAGTGGCTGTCTATGGAGCACGGGTGTCTGGGGAGACCCCCATGTGTACTCTGGGGGTGGGGAGCATGGATGCTGACATTCCAGTTATCACCCTCACTTACGGAAACTTCCTGCTGAGATCAGGGTGGTTTGGAAGAGCCAGGCAGGCTAGGACAGTATGGGCCTGTTCCTCCAGGGATGGTGATTTCTCAGAGAGGGAAGGGATGGAGAAGCTGGAGGAAGCAGATGCCAGGTTTCCCAGAGTGCCAAGGACACAAAGGGCAGAGCCCCAGAGGTGAGGCGAGTGGGCTGTGCAGGGGACGAGTTCAGGGAACAAGCACGTCCCTCTGCAGCGCATGCTGGCAGCTGCCATAAATAGCCCTGAGAGTTAGCAGTTCCGCTCAGGGGTCTCACCAGAAGCTGCTGTCAGCCCTGGCTCACTCTCTCGAGCAGAGAAACCTGACACACTCAAGTTCCCACTGCGACTGGTTGTCCTGACTCTGCAGATGCAGAAATCCTCTGGGCCACATCCAGTCTGTGCTGACTCTTCCCCTCACCGCTCCCAGCACCAACCCTGGGCTTGGACAGACCACGAGCGAATGAGGTCAGGGGAGGCAGAAGTCAGGAAGAGAAAGCCAGACATGACCATAAAGCACCAAGATGGAACCTGGGCTCTTATTCCGGACTCCAACCCACGTGGAACCACGTACCACACTCCCCAAACCTGGCAAGGTTAGGTCTGCTCATTCTCTACCAACTTCCCACTCATTCTCTACCAACTCCCTTTCTCAGGGATGAGCTCAAAGAACTGGACCTGCAGGTTTAGACAACCTCATTTGGGTAAATGCCTGGGTGGTCAGTAAACATTTACAAATAACTTATGATGGAGACATAAGTTATAACAAATAACTTATGATGGAGAGCAGGAAGTTTGAAATCTGACGGACCTGAGTTCCAATTCTCAGGTTGCCACTCGCTACTTGCGTGACCTTGATCAAGTTATTTAACCTCTGTGAACCTCAAGATTCACATCTGTACAACTGCCAAGAGCAATAGCTGTCTCCTGGGATGGCAGCAAAGATTAAACAAGATGGTGTAGGAATAAAGCACTTAGCACAGAGCGAAAACCTCAGTACAAATCTGGATATCATTGCTGGGTGCCAAGCACGCGTGAGCTGCTGGAACCACACCCACCCTTCCTAAAAGCTCACAAAGTGGGCCTTTCCGCACAGATCGTGGTCCCACTTGAGTCTGGGAGAGTGCACCAACAGACCTACCCACGGCACTGTGCTGTGGGCCCCTGAGAGCCCAGGACACGAGCTGGACTCGGGGGGGGGGGCCAATAAGTTATTTTCCCCACCCCAGCACTCCAGATGTGTGGCTGTGAAGACTTCTTGCAGCCCATCCTGGCAGGGAGTGATAACTCAGACCTGGTTTTAGGAGGAAAAAAAGCCCAAATTCATCTTCTCTTTAAAGTATTCTGCTGCTTATCTCAGCAGCTTTAAAGGGATTCACGATGAATTGTCCTCCAGCAGCAAGCCCAGACAGGAAAGGGGCATGAGAGAAAGGAAGGTACTCAGGCAGAAGGGTACCTCTCATCTGTCTCTAGCACCCATGGAATTTCCAGATCCAATAGGAAGGGCATCGATTTCCAGGGTGCACATGCCGCCTCCCCCCCCCCCACACACACACACATTTCCAGGAGCAATTGGAGTCCTCTGGCTCAGCATGGTTTTCTTGCTGCAGTGGGGATCCCCTTATATCCTCCACTCTTGAGGCAAACGCATCTTAGCTTAGCACCAAGTCTAGACACATTACAGAGGAAGGAGTCAGTGGCTCAGGGTCCTTCAGGGAAGGCAGGGAACACACTCCATTGCCTTGCAGCTTGCAACTCCACTACAGATGGGACAGGTGGGAAGGAGGATAGCAAGACCTGACCAAAGGGCAGAGACCCCTGCAGTCCACCCAGCAGGTGCTGTAACTTGGGACTAGGCCACAGTCATGAACAATCTTAAAGAGTCAAGGTCTGTGCCGAAGTCTCACCCTTGAGTCATCACTGACATCCCAGGGCACCCAGCAGACCCAGCACAGCTGCCCACCCCTCCCCAGTAGCCTTGCTCTTACTCCAGCTTCCCCATTCAGGGTCTTTGGGAGAAATGAGGGTTGGAAGTAGGTCAGTTTGCAGCTGAGTTGCTTACAGGTCCTTCTCAACCATGTGAGAAGCCCTGTCACTTTCTTTTGTCTCCACCCCCCTCTCACGCAAAGAAGCAAAGGCAGGGAGAGAAAGAACTGCTTCTAGTTAAGGCCCCTAAAGAAAGAGGTGGGGAACTCACATTTAATGAGCATCTGCTACATGTCCAGACTGGGTTCAAGATAAGCCTGCAGCAAAGGCACCATAGGCATCCCTGTTTTTCAATGGAGAAAACCCAGGCTCCAGAAGTAAACGGACTTGCCCAGGGTCACCCCGTGCTGGCACATGGCAGAGCACTGGGCCATTCTGACCACAATCACAGAAGCTCCCCTGAAGCCTCTCCTCCACCTCCCCACCCCCAATGTGTCCCTGCTTGCCTTTCCCAGGGGTCAGAGCTCTAGAACCCTTACTCAGGAGCGAGGCAGCCTGAGTTCTGCTTAGCTCCCTCTGGGGACTTGCCCACTTCTGGCTAGTGGCCCCCAAACACTGGGAGCTCTGGCTGTTCCTACTCACAAGTCCTGGTACTGAATGCCATTCAACTCACTAGCAGCTGACACAACTCTGCCTGTGACTCAGGCCAAACAAAGTCACTCCAGTCAGAGCAGGTGGGCACCATTTGCCTCCTGCACTGAGTCACCTCCAGGCTAAGCTGTAGGAATTTGCCAAAACTCACCACCTACTTAGCCACAGTAGCTCCATTTGAGAAAAAGCCAGCAGAGGAGCTGGAGCCTCCAATGCTCCCCATGGCTGGGCCACGGCCAAGGAGAATGAAGTGTGACCTCAAAGCCCTTCCTGCCTAGGTGATGTGTCCACCTCACCAGACCATGGGACATTGTAAGCACAGTGTGAGACAGAGAACTCCCACTGTTAACCCTCCACACATCTGACCTTGTTCTCCAGACATCAGTCAGTAAGTCCTAAACAGCCTAACAGGATCTAACTAAAGTTTTGATTGAATTTTTTTGCGTCGTTGCAGGATCTTCTTAGTTTCTGAAAGTTCCTATTAACAAGGGGAGCGCCCTGGAATAAATCTTTCTATCTTCCCGACCCCACCCCACCCCACCCGCTTCGTGTTCACAGCTGAATTGCCCCAAAGATAGCCCTGGTTAGAAGTGTCCAAATCCAAAGAATTCGTTAAAATATTTCTGAAAGGAAAGAGGAGTGGAATCAAATTGGTTTAAAAAAATTCCTCTTGACAGCGACTGGGTCCTGTATGGTGAGTGGCCTCAGAACTTCCGATCACTTGGATCCCTGACCCGGCTGTGTGGGCTTTAAAAGGAAACACCGGCTTCCTTCCACCGTGGCGGGGTCCCTGGAGTGCTGTGAGCATCAGCATCGCTTGAGAGCGCAGACCAGGGCGCACAGGTATAAATGTGGCAGAGGCCTCTCTCCCGAGAGGAAGCCCCTTCAAGACCTGCGCCCCGCGCACGGTCCCCATCTCCGCCATTCCGCTCCCAGATGCCCTTCCCTCCAGGGAGCACGGGCTTCCTGCTAGCTCCAAATTCAGCAAGGACTAGCCCCAGGACTGGGAATTAAATATTCATCTCGGGCGTGAGCGGTCTGCTTCTCCCGCGAATGATACCGTCAAGGTCACGGGCCTGAAGCCGAGCTGCCAGGGCTGGGGTCTCCAGCCGCGCGGGAGCCTCCCGGCTGGAACTGCGCCCTGAGCGCGCGGCTTTAGGCGGTGAGACCGGCTGGGCCTCCTCCCTGGTTCTACGCGGACACTTGCCTCTTCAGCTCTGCCTCATTACCTCCGGAGTTCTTGGGCCCATCGAGCCCCGGAAGCTGGCGTCAGGTGTCCAACCCGTGAGCACAGCGCTAGGCACCCCTGATGCACCGGAGGAGCGCGGCCCCGGGGCGCCGTCGCCAGGCAACGGAGGCTGGAGAGGCGGGAGGAGCCCGGGCCCGCGCAGAGCCGAACGGATACCTGGAGCGCCGCCTCACACCCCGGTTCTTAGGCCTTGCTGGCTGGGGCGGGGCCGAAACAGCAAAGTTGCGGTTGCTGACCCGGTAAAGCCAGGCAGGGCGCGGCCCGCGACTCACCTGTCCCGTGTGGACCGTCGCGTGGACTCGTTCCCTGCGCTCCCGCGGAGCAGCTGCTGTCCCCGACGGGTGGCGGGCGCACAGCCCTTCCCAGGGGCAGCCCGAGTCTGGCGGTGACGGGCACCTGCCGGGGCTGGGAGGGGACCCGGAGCCGTGCGCCTGCGACTCGGCTAGCTTCTCGCTCCCTCCCTCGCCGCCGCCCGGCCCAGCTCCCGCCTGCGGCGCACTCAGCCCTCTGGGGAGCGGTCCGGCGCCCCAGGTCCCGCGGTGGAGGGAGCGTGTGGGGCTGCGGAACCCAGGGCCGAGTGCCGCCCTCCCTGCGCCCTGGTCACTCCGACTCTGCGGAGCGGAACGGAGCTGGGCGGAGCGCAGCTTACACTGTTCCCTCGCTTTCCGAAAGGCCACCCTGGCGGCGGGGCGCCGTGACGCAGGCTTGACTCACGCGCGGGCCCGCGTCAATGCGAGACTTTGGGACCGTGAGCGAGGCTCTGATGGCCGACGCAGGGGGAGGGGGTGGGCAGGAGGGACAAGGGCTGCCCCGGCAGTAGCCTCTTGAGGCCCCTCACCAAGGAAACCAGGCCCTGGGCTTCTGCCCTCAGAGAGGAATGGGACCCTAATAGCCAAGGCCCTCCTGAGTCCTGGGCTTCATTTCTTCACCTTTTCAGGCCCATCTCTTTGCCCCACCCCCCTTCATAAACTCAGTCCCATCCAAAGTGGTTCTCCCGTCCTAGCAATTTGCGCCTCCATGCCTTTGTTCCCTCTCTTCTCCTCCCTTGGGATGCCTTTGCTGCTCCATGGTCCTTCCAGCCCACCATCCAGCAGGACCATTCCCTGTGCAAGTCAGCTCCTCAATGCATCATTCATCTATTGAGCTCCTACTATATGCATGGGTTGCAGGAGTTGAGATCACAGAAATGATGGTAGGGAACCTCTAGGAAAGGCAGAGTGGGGTTTACCCAGGTAGCCACAATACAAGGCAGAAGGACTGAGGACCCTAGAAGATAAGGGAAGTGGGGGACAGTGAAGAGAGAGGAAAGTTCTGGCTGGGCTCTGGGCAGAACTTACAGGGGAGGTGAGACAGGGTCCTGGCCTCAAAGGATATAAGGGGAGAAGGACATCCCTTGTGTGTGTGTGTGTGTGTACAGCACGACAAGAGCAAAGATACAAGAGAATGGAGGTGTGCAGAGGGGAATGATTGTCTGAGCTGGACAGAGGTGGGTGAAGGTAGGAGGTAGGAACCATGCTCCAGGGCTGTTTATGGAGTCTGGAGTGAATTATCTCTGGTCTAGAAGACATTAAGGAGATCTTGGTATTTGAGGCCATGTTTGGGAAGGATGGGAGGTGGAAGCTGTCTCAATAGTCCTACTGAAAGGCAATAGAACTATGGTCATGAACTCCAAAGGCTCTGAGACCCTTGCAATCTAACAAGTTAGCCCACCATGGTTTTATGGATGCTGACAGAAGACATGAAACTTCTGGGCCAGTGACAGAGGACTTTATTGCTGAAAGCACAGCAGGAAGCTTGAGTTTCACAGTCAGATCAGTTTATCTTAACCCCAAGTCCATGGGAGGAAGTGGTGCTCTGCTCCAGTGATGCTGCATAAGCTGGGGAACTCGGAGCTTAGGAAACCCCAATCTTTTCTAACAGGCTGCAAGCAAACCTTCCCAACCTTTGCCCTGGATAGTGTTATATTTATTATCATTATTATACTGGACAGCAAACAAAACTGTCCTCCATTGGGAAGACTCTATCTCCAACTTCCAAAGCTGTTTGCTATGCAAACATCCTCAAAAAGAGAGTCTGGAACAAAAACCCATTAGTGCCTCTTCTTTTAGAAGCACAAAGATGAGTGCACCCTTCTCAAGCTTGCAGTTTTGCCCCCATCTTTAACAGGTCCTTCGAGGCCCCTCGTCATCCCTAGCCTCATTTCACACCCCTCTCCCCATGGCCTTTCCCGCAGCCCACTAGATACACCCACCTCCTCTCAGCTCTCCGACTCGCCCACTCCTTCCTGACTCATGTGCCCTCTCTGCTGGGAAACCCTCCTCCTCTTCCCTCGCTCCCTGCCCACTCACCCACATCCTTCACTTCAGACCGAATTCTTCAGGCCTCTCCTGACCATGGAGAAGAATGTGGTCAGTCTTCCAGGTGGACATTTTTCCTCCTTAGTAGCCTTTGTCACAGTTGTAGTTAAGTATTTAATGGCGTGACAGGCTGCCGAGTGACAGTCACTGTGGCTGAAGGGCACATTCCACAGAGCAGAGACCATGCCCATCTTCAACACAAAATGGACTTTCCGTACAGATTTGCTGGAAGAATAGATAAAACGTGGTTAGAAATATGGGTGTCAAGTCCTGGAAAGAGGGCTAGAGAAACAGACTTGGGATCATAAACATAAAGAGGGAAAGATGGCCCTCCAGGGGAGCAGGGGAAGATGGTCAAGAGGACAGAAGGGGGCAGCGCTACTGCTCAGGGGTGGGGGAGCCAGGGGGTCAGGAACGGAGCCAGAGAGGAAGAGCTGGGGGGTGAGAAGACAGTGCCTATCACCGAAGAACCAGAAATGTTTGAGAAGAAAAGGTGGTCCACGGCGTCCAAATCTACAGCCAAGTTAAAGAGGAAGCCTGGACAGTATCCTTAATGACAGTACCCAAAGGGTGGTGGGCAGGATGCCATCCTGAAGGCCCTGAGACAGAAATAGGAAGTAGGGCTTCCTAGTGAATGAAGTCTTCCTTCCAGCGCTCAGTGACCACCTGTTCTCTAAATATCTAGAAAAATGATTCTTCCTTTTACCAGGCGTATAGAAATATATTTAAATTATATAGTATAACAGTGTGAGGTAAGCACTATTAGTCTCCTCGTCTTACTAATGTGGAGACTTAGTGTGGTTAAATAATCTGTCCAAGTCATACAGTGAGGTCCATCCTGGTCCAAATGTCTTGCTCTCGATCTTGACATTGAAGGCTATATAATGTAGGTCTCTCTTTATATGTCTACGCCCTGCCTCTCAAATTAGAGTGTGACTGGGACCTTCAAGGGCAGGGACCTTTCCTTATTCATCTTTCCATGCCTCACACCCCAGCACAGTGACTTACACACAGCAGGAGCTCAGTCAGGGCTAACCAGGTTGGGCAGCCCTTTCAAACATGGTGGGTCGAGCACCATGAACTAATCCATTCTTCTCTCAACACTGGTCACCTAAGTTGAGTCTGTGTTTCTGAGTCTCTTAAATGCACAGATGCTAAGCTATGACCTCTCCTTTATTCTACGTGACACAATTACTAGTTTTACCAGGGTGGATGTCTTTAAAAATGGCCCCCAGTTCTTTGACCATGCTCTCTTCAAGAAGGGAAGTCTGTATCTCCTCCCTTTGAATCGGGGCTCTGTGACTTCTTGAAGAGAAGTAATGCTGTGCCTATTTCTGGACCCAGACCCTAAGGGAACTGTAGCTTCCGTTCCTTCTCTCGGGATGCTTGTTCCTTGGGCTTCCATTCTGTGAGGAAGCCCAAGCTGCCCACGGAGAGGTGCACATGGAGAGGAACTGAGGCCCCAGTCCCCAGCCCAAAGCTGGCCCCACCTGCCAGCCATGTGAATGAGTCAGCTGGGAAGCAGATGCTCCAACCCATTCGATTCTCCCCAGCTGATGCTGCACGTAGCAGAGACAACCTGCCCAGCCAGGTCCTTCCCAAATGCCTGACCCACAGAAACCATGAGAGATGGAAAAATAACCATTGTTCTATGCCACTAAGCTGTAGGGTGATTTGTGACACTGCAGTAATAACCAGAACAGCCTTGCCATTGCTGAACAACTGTGGAAGTAGCAAGAAGCTCCAGGACCACGTGCTACTCTCACACCTTTGAGAACTCCGTCACCCCTGAGCTGGAAGCAGTGATGGCCTCTTCCCACAGCCACCCCCAGGTTAATTGTGTTAGGTCAGCAAAGAGCATGAGCGAACCTCACCCAATGAGGGTGCAAAATCTAAAACACAGCGGACGAGAAGGTCCCCACCCACCTCTGTTAGCAGGTGTTTCTTTAGAAGACATGCTAGGCTCACTGTGGCTCCCTGAGATGTGGTTCTGTGCGGCGTCTGAGGGTCAAGCCAGCTGCTGTGTGCATGTGGAATCTGACCTGAAGGAAGGGGCAGATGCCAGCTTAACTCCCAGAGGGAAATGGAAACTGGAAGCAGGAACATGAGCTCCGGGTAGCTGCAGGGCTGGCCCACATCCGTGGCATTTCTGACTCCTTACCTCCCTCCCCTGGCCCATGGCCGCCCTCCCGAATAAACCGGTTCGCGTTTCCACTGAGACACTGCTTGGCTTCATCATCTCAGCCTCTGTTGGAGTCAGCAGAAGACACAGATCATATTTGTGGTCCTGAGTTAGGAAATGAGAGAAAGTGAGGTGTCTGCTCTGCAAGGTGGGAGGAGAGAGCAGCAGAGTCCCCACAGAGCAGTATGGTTCCACAGTGCATGTGTGCATGCGTGCATGTGCGTGCCTGTGTGCATGTGTGCGTGCGTGGGCGTGCGTGTGTTTGCATGTGCTGCAGAGCTTCGTCCCTGAACGTCATGGTTCAGTCTCACCCCTTAGTACCAGAGTGGGACCCCTCAGGGCTGCGGTGTCCTCACCTGTGAAATGGGAATAATAATAGTGCCCACTCATAGAGTATTGGGTATTAAATGAGATTTTGCCAAGTAACACATTTCTATGATAAAGGTTACATTTCAAGTGAATTGGGGAAAGACAGATTTTTAATAGATGGTATTGCCTTGGCCATTCGAAAAGAAGTAAATTTGAATCCTTTTTTTATTCCTTATACCAATATAAATTGTAGATGTATCGAGGCTAATGTACAAAATAAGCCAGAAGAATGCATCAAAAGCAGTACTTAGAGGGATATTTATTGCCTTAAATAGATATATTAAAAATAAATAGACTGCAAATCAGAAAACCAAGCAACCATCTCAAGAACTTAGGAACAGAAAACAGAGGAAGACAATGATAAAGTCAATATCAAAATTAATAAAATAGGAAAGCAAACATACAATAGAGAGGGTCATCAAAGTCCAAAACTTATCCTTTGAAAAGTCTAATTTTTTTTAAAAATGGTTTTTCTTTATTGATTTTAGAGAGAGAGGAAGGGAGAGGGAGAGAGAGATAGAAACATCGATGAGAGAGAACATGGATTGGCTGCCTCCTGCATGCCCCACACTGGGGTTTTGCCCCACAACCTGGGCATGTACCCTGGCCGGGAATCGAACTGGCAACCTCCTGATGCTTGGGTCAATGCTCAACCACTATGCCACACAGGCCAGGCAAAAAGTCTAATTTTTAAAAATGATACCATAGCCCTGGCC